TATTCTTAATTAATAAAAGCCCAACAGGGCTGGTGCTGTGGCTCAGTGGTAGAACGCTTGCCTAGCAAGTGTGAGGCACTGGGTTCGATTCTCAGCACTGCATAGAAATAAATAAAATAAAGTTCACTGACAACTAAAAAAAACAATTAAAAAAAAATAACAGACCAACAGTCTAAGCTGTTGGTTGTCTTGCACAAATGCAACTAGACAGAAGAGATACTGTCTTTCCAGAAGCCAGAGACATTTCTTCACAGTATCAGGTATTCCTGGGTTTTGATACATTTATCATTGACTTGATTAAATGTAGAGTTTCCTGATAAACTTTAACAAATGATTATATTTAAAGAAAATCTATTAAAATCATATCATTTAGAACAAGAGCATTCACTAATCTACCTGAGATTTGCTATTTTCTCTATGTCATAATTATGTGATGTTTTCTTTTAGGAGTGAGCATGGAACACGTCCCAATTCCAAAAAGAAGATAAGTATGTTTTTGAACACTTCCAGAAAGGAAAATCACTCAGAGTGTACATATGCTGCTGGCAAACTATTAGGAATATTATTTACACCTGTTCAGGACTATCCACAATGAGTATYATGGTCTGTGAACCAGTGGCCCATTCACAGCATACACTAGAACTTTTTTTCACTTTATTAAATTTGCCATTCTTTTTTTAAAAATTTGTTTTAATTAGTTATACATGATAATAGAATGCATTTATGCACTTTGATATATTTTACATAGATGAGATATAATTTCTCATTTTTCTGAGTRCACATGTTGTAGAATCACATTGGTCATGTAATCACATATATACATAAAGTAATAATGTGTATTTTGTCCTACTATCCTTTCTATGCCAACATCCCCTCCTCTCCTCTCCCATCACTTCCCTCTTCCTAATTTAAGGTAACTCTATCCTTCTCTAGTGCCCTGACCCCCTTCTTTGAATTATAATTCGAATATTAGAGAAAACATTSGACCTTTGGTTTTTTTGGGATCGGCTTATTTCGCTTAGCGTGATATTCTCA